GCGCATCCTGGGTTATGGGCTTGGGTGTTGCCCAGCATTCCTAGGGCAGCTCACTGCTGTGGAGCTGAGGAGCCTTTCTGAGCAGATGAGGGCTGCTGTGGCCGGTGCTGGCAGCACAGACCTCAGTCGTGAGTCATGCAGCCACCCCTGCTCACCTGGATCTAAAGCACTTGACCAACAGCCTGATTGTGGCCACCTCTGAGACGAAGAGTCCATGACTGACTTCTCCAAAAAAGTGGTTGAAGTTAACAGCAGAGCCCTAGCCCCCAGAGCAGGGAAGCTGTCTGACCACATCAGCTCGGTGTCCTCGGAGGATGCTGGTTTTCACTCTCTGAGTCTCACAGGAGGGCTCAGGCACTTCTGGAGGGCAGATGCTCTTTTCTGGTTCATCTCCCCATTGGATGAGCCAGTGACGTTCAGGTGGAGCCGCCTCTGGCACCCAGAGTGACTGAGGGCAGCATTAGGGTGACACTTTGGAAAAAGCCAAGAGGACTCTGAAGAGTCAGCACTGATCAGAGAGCCTGAGCCTGTGAGTCCTGAGCTGTGCCCATTAATGACGTGGCCACAGCATCAGAATATGCTGTGGGGCCAGGCCGAGCCCCCCAGTCCAGGATTCTGACCCGCAGGGCATTTGGTCAAAGAGCATATCCAACTCCTCTGGGAGGACCTAGCACTTCCCTCACACGTCCACCCTTATTAACCTGTGGGTATGCTCCACTGGACAACCTCCTAGGATTAGTTTTGTGTTGATGCTTCAATATTTGAAGAAGTGCTTCCCTTTCTTTAGCCTTAAAACATCTCATTTCCAGTCTCAAGAACTGCCCCTGACCTTTGATGTTGAGGGTAAGAAGACCATGTGTCCTGAGCTAATCCCTGCCTTTTATGACATTGATTATGATCTCTGTGATTTCATCTTTCCAGGCAGGAGACATTCTCCCATTGACTCATTAGCTCCTATTTATCTGTTACTCATTCATTCATTCCACAAATATTTCCAAAGGCCCCTCTAGTTACCAGGCATTTTCCAAGTGCTAGAAATAGTGAACAAAACAGACAATCCCTATTCTCTTGTAGTAGATCATTTTTAAAAAATATATACAATGTACTCTCTGAGCTTCCTGGATTCCCTGGAAGTCTATTTCCTTTGTCAGATTGGGGAAATTCTCCTTTATTATTTGTTCAAATAAGTTTTCCACTGGTGGCTGTGCCTTTCCCCCTTCTGGTACCCCTATAATTCGGATGTTGGAGCATTTAAAGATGTCCTGGAGGTTCCTAAGACTCTCCTCATTTTTTTTTTGAATTCTTGCTTCTTGACTCTTTTCTGTTTGGCCATTATTTGCTTTCTTCTGGTCCACTCCATTGATTTGAGTCCCAGTTTCCTTTTCATTGCTATTGGTTTCCTGTGCAATTCCATTCATTTCAATTAGTTTTGCCTTCATATATTTGTCTAATTTGAAGCCCTTATTATATGAAATGTTAAAGGGACTTATCGAAGAAAAAGAAGTTAAAGAAACATGAACAGTGAAAGGACAACAAAATCACAGTTATTAACAACCACACCTAAAACAAAAGCAAACTAAAAGGACAGCTAGATCAGGAGTGGAAACATAGAAATGAAGATCTCAAGGAGGGTTAGCAACAGGGGAGTGGGAGGAGGAGAAGGGGGGAGAAGGTACAGAAAATAAGTAGCATAGACAGTAGATAGAAAATAGATGGGGGGCAAGAATAGCATGGGAAATATAGAATCTAAAGAACTTGAGACACATGGACATAAACTAAAGGGGGGGTAATGGTGGGGATGGGGAGTAGGATGAAGGGGAATGAAGGGGGGAATAGAACAACTGTAACAGCATAATCAATAAAAAATTAAAAATATATATATATACAATACGACATGCAAAGTACTCTGGCAGGCCCTTCAGAAGTTTTCACAGGGAATAAGATAAAAGATGTAAATAACCGCTATCTTGTCTGGGAATTTTTGCTTACAAAGAACAAGACCCCACTCAAACTAGCTCAAGTTAAAAACTAGGGAAACGGTTAAGGATCAGATGTCCCACAGAATTAAGTGCAGGAACCAAAGCAACAGCTACCCTCCCTTCTGGTTACATTTGCATCCTTATTCATTCATCCTTTCTCCCTTCTTCCCTCTTTCTCTCATGTCTCCCCTCTGTCTAAACATCCTTCCTTATTCACTTCTCCCCTTCACCTTTCTAAGATGTAGCCATGGAAGGAAATAGTTGGTATCTCAACTGCAAAAGGATACAAGATAGAGTGTAATTAGGGCAGAAGAGCAAGGGCCACTAGAGTTGGGAGGTGGGAGGATACCTTAGCGCTCCATGGAATCAGGGAAGTCTTTCTGGAGGAGGTGCTGTTTGAGTGGGGCCTGGTGTGAGGAGTATCCGGATGCCCAGTAGAGAGCAGGGACCTTTCCCGGAACAGAGAACCACGTGAGTAGAGGGGAGCACAGTGGGTAAGGATGCCAACTGAGAGTACAGGGGAACAGGCAGAAAGGGTCCTTCCTGATCATCCAACTTACCATCCTCCCTCCATCCCTGTGATGCTTTACCTGGATTTGTCTTCAGAGTGGTCAGGACTCTGCTGGTCTGTAGGCTAGACTGCAGTAGCAGATAGGCTGTGACTGAAGGGGACCGGGGCAGGCGGGGTTGTAAGATCACAGCTGGGCAGGGCAGGGATGGGAGAAATGTTGCCCAGCAGAGACACCGAGACCCGAACCATGTGACAGGAAGATTTAACCAGGTGGCAAAAGGGGTGGCAGCTCCCTCCCACCCACCTGTGTGTAACTCAAATGTAAAGGCATCCAGTGACAGGAGCTTGGATGAACAAGTCAGATGGCCTCCTGTCTGCCAGTGATGTGCTGACTGATCACTGGCGTCAGCCACTCGATGGTTTGGGGGCTCCTCTGTATTTATTGGCACTAAAAAGTGACTGTTGCGTCAGTCATATCTGATCACCTGAGTGGCGCCCTCTGGCTCTGGGCTGGGGCTTCCTGGAGCAGGTAAGTTGAGTTATGCATCCTCTGTACCTAGAGGTACAAAATTGAAAAGCCTTTGCACAACCTCTGCCTTTTTTTTTTTTTTTTGACCAGGAGCAGGAGGATTCATTTTAAGCATCTGCAGTGGGGCCAGTGCTTTTATATAAGCATCTTGTGTTGATCTTACACTGAGTCAGTTAAGTAGGGAATTTCCCCACTTTCCAGGGAGAAAACTGAGACTCAGGCGTCAAGATACCTGTCAGCAGAGGTCACACAGCTAGTGGCAGGGCTGGAACTTAATGCTTTCTGGCCCCAAATGCTTTCTGCTGGGGTGCCACCAGGTGCACCTCCCCAAGACCTGGGTTGGCAGGTCAACGGGGCCGGCTCAGGGTGGGTCCGAGGCTGCTGCACAGGGCACAGGGGCTCCAGATGGTTCTGCCGGAAGGGCTGCTGCGCTCCCTTCCACAGGCCTCTCCCCCAGCGAGCTCGGTACCAGCAATTTACCTAAAGATGACGACCTCTCACAGGCTGCTCCCTGCAGGTGTGGATGTGCTTTGAGTCACATGCACCCGACTCCACCTGCCACGTACATGAGAAGCCAGGAGTGACAAGGTTTTCCCATATCGGGTGCTGGCCCAGTCAGGGCCCTGTCATAGGTAGGTAGCTCATGCTCAGAGTCACACTCAAGAGACAGAATTGCTATCTGTCAGTGTTATATCCACCGGACTCGAGAATAATTTTCGAAGACCTTTCAGGGTTTTGATCTTATTTTATTGGCCAAGCTTAACCTGCGCAGGGGCGAACTCTCGGGGTGTCTGGAGACACGGTGCCCAAAAGGGCTGCAGATGAGAGACACGCCGAGCACTTACAGCTAAGTCCTTACATAGGGACAAGCAAGCAAGCATTGAACAGAAGCAGAGGTGGCAGTCAGCTATTTGCTGACAGAGACCACGCTCGAGAACAGGGTGGGGTTTCGAAATTCAAAACTAAGCAGATTACAATCAGCCTGTTTTGCTGTTGTCAGGCTATGTTCTCAATTTCCCAGATCTCAACATCAGTCCTCTGCTTGAATCACTGTCATTGTCGGGAAGTACCTACTGGACATCTGATAGATCTGGGATCTGGTGTCCTGGGTACAAGTTCCTTCCAGGAAATTACCTGCTATGCGACGTCTCGATTTCCTCTTCTCTGAAACGGGGGTGGTAAATAATGTGTCCTGGGGACCTGGATAGTGCTGTTGTAAGGAAAACCTGAAGCGACCTCAAGTGTGTTACTTGATACCCAGTGTTGTTACTGTTAGGACGAGCCCGTGTGCAAGGTCACGGGCCTTTCTTCCCGTGAGCTCCGTGAGGATGAGGAGGGCTTCCCTGCGAGAGCAGCTTTCCCCTCGCCCAGCCAGCCCCGTTCACTTAGGGTCCAATGTTCAGATGGCAGTCTTAGCTGTAGCCCTGCCTGGGGTTGGAGCCGAACCTCCTCGCCTGGAGTGTGGTTTAGAGAGAGATACTCAAACTTATGTGCAACAGAACCACCTGGGGAGCTTTTGAAGTTCAGATTCAAGGGCTTCCCGCCCAGAGATTCTAGTGCATTAGGTCTGAGATGGGGTCAGAAAAAATGATTTTTCGAGAAGTTTGTCATGTGACATTGAACTGCGGGCAAGGGCCAGTTAACGAGGGCCCGGCTCAGAGTCTCAGAGGTTGGCACCGTCTCCCAGAGGAGGTCTCTGGGTAGCTCCAGCCTCCTGGCATGTGGGGGTGGAGAGGTTGGGGGTTTGTTTCTCTTGCAGAGGACGCAGCAAGTGTCCCTTTATGCTGATGGGAAACTGGAAAGAGCGTTAGGAAAAGAAAAGCAAAGGTGGTCGCTGAGAAGAGCCCCAGCAGGCTTCGGCAGGGATGCTAAGGGGCTGTGAGCCTCGGCCCACGAGAGGGGGGAACCAGGAGCCAGGCCTGTGACAGGCAGAGGGGCCCAGTGGCCGGTTAACAGGGCGTGTCCTTCTGTCTCTCTCCAGATCGTGTTCCGGAAGATCAGCGACGTGAAGCGGGAAGAGGAAGAGCGCATGAAGCGGAAGAATGAAGCCCCCCTGATCCTGCCACCAGACCACCCAGTGCGGAGACTCTTCCAGAGGTTCCGGCAGCAGAAAGAGGCCAGGCTGGCGGCGGAGAGGGGCGGCCGGGACCTGGACGACCTGGACGTGGAGAAGGGCAGCGTCCTTGCAGAGCACGCCTCCGCCAACCACAGCCTGGCCAAGGCCAGCGTGGTCACCGTGCGCGAGAGCCCCGCCACGCCCGTGCCCTTCCCGGCGGCCTGCCCGCCGGCGCTGGGCGTGTCGGACCAGGCCAAGCTGCAGGCGCCAGGCTCTGAGTGCCAGGGCGCCAAGGCGGGCGGCGGCGACTGCGCCAAGCGCAAGGGCTGGGCCCGCTTCAAAGATGCTTGCGGAAAGGGCGAGGACTGGAACAAGGTGTCCAAGGCCGAGTCCATGGAGACACTTCCCGAGAGGACCAAGGCGTCAGGGGAGGCCACGCTGAAGAAGACGGATTCGTGCGACAGCGGCATCACCAAGAGCGACCTGCGCCTGGACAACGTCAGTGAGGCCAGGAGCCCCCAGGACCGCAGCCCCATCCTGGCGGAGGTCAAGCACTCCTTCTACCCCATCCCGGAGCAGACGCTGCAGGCCGCCCTCCTGGAGGTGAAGCACGAGCTGAAGGAGGACATCAAGGCCCTGAACGCCAAAATGACAAACATCGAGAAACAGCTCTCTGAGATTCTCAGGATATTAACTTCCAGAAGATCCTCCCAGTCTCCTCAGGAGCTGTTCGAAATATCCAGGCCCCAGTCCCCGGAATCAGAGGGAGACATCTTTGGAGCGAGCTGAGAGGCCCATTAATACAAAGTCGAAGATGAAAACGCACCACCCCCGCCCTAGGCAACACCCCCACCACACACACCTACATGACCAACAACTTTCCAAGTAGGCTCTTCCTGACAGAAAGTTCGAGTGGGACCAGTTGCTTAGGCTCACGCGCTCTCTCAAAGCCGCGGGGGGTGGAGCGTGGGGCCCCTGCCCCACACCAGCTGCAGTGGAACTGCCTTCGCACAATCTCGCAAGAGGGAGCATGCTGTCTACGGGTGTTTTCCTTCATTTTTAATTTCTTACTGCCATGATATTTGTAAAAGATGAAAACTACCAGGAAAGAGCAGCAGCTACGTGGGTATTGGTGGGGGAGCACCGAGAACCCCTCACATATATACCATGCTGGGCTCCTTCGCCAAGAACCCCAAAGACTGAGGTGGGCCCAGGGATTTCCCAGCATTCCCTGTCCCTGTACAGCCTTCGTCTGACCTCATCGTATATTTTCCTACAGTCGTCATTTGTGACAAGCTCGGGACAAGGGGAGCCTGAGGGACAGGGAGGGCAGAGCCTTTCAACTTCTGGCTCCAGTGGTTAAGGCCAAAAAGCAGCTGAGGTGCTGTGGGTGCCTCCCATAGACGCTGAGAGCCTAGAACCCTCGGGTCCCTTTTCCCCAAAGAGGTGAGCCACGCGGAAGAGCTGGAGCGGGGCCCTTGGGATCCAGAGATTCTCCGCAGCTCGCTCTATGGGACGGCCGCATGCCACTGGCCTCATCACGCAGGCCCCTCTGCTTCTTTTCCTTCCCAACCTCTCCCCGCGTGCTCCTGTGGCAATCCTCAGGGTAGGGGGCATCGGCAGGAAGGGCGATGAGCCCAGAGTTGCTTCCTTAGCAAAGCAGACACACACACACAACCTCAGAAAAATGATTGTAGCAAGTGCTATGTTTATAACTCTCGACGGGGTCGCCCTTCAGAAGTTCGTATTTTGTTCACAGCATGCAGTCGCTATAGGACGTGTGGGAGCCAGGCTTGTCCTTAGTTTAAAACTAATCTCTTCAGTTCCTACTAAAGTCAGTAGGACTTTAAGAGAAACCGTGACAAATCACAGGGCCGTGATTGTATGTACTCGCTTCAGGAGCTGGAAAAAGAGAATGAGGCATTGGGTTTTCCAGCTGTCTGGTAAACTGATAGAGAGCAGTTATGGTCCATGGGGAGGGCCCAAGCTCAGAACCAGGCTCGCGGGGTGGCCTGTGCCACAGTGCTGGGGATGGTCCATTGCCTCTTCTGACCTGGGGTTCGGTCATTTGTGTGCTTGGGTTTCTTTCAATGGTGCCTGAGAAAGGAAAGAGGAGAGGCCTCTCCTAAGCAAGGCAGAGCTCGCCCAGGTATATGCCAGCAGAGAGGAATCAGGCTCTTAAGAATTGACAAGAACTGAAGGTTGAAAGCTCAGTTCTAAGAACTCTGCTTTGAGAGAGTGCAGTTAGCGGTGCAGATGGTCCGGCCCGTAGCGACAGCAGGGAATCGTTCTGGCACTGACCTTGTGCACGCGTCTTGCTGCAGCAGCCCCATCCTGACCACCTCTGCCTGGCGTTCATTGCTTTGCTGCGAAGAGTCTGGACCCAGTGCTGACCTCCCTCCTACTGCGGGGGACCTGACAGGTTGGGACCTTTCCTACCAAAGATATTCAGTGATTCTGAAAGCCTGCTGTCTGGGCCCTCCCTTGTTTGTGTGGAGTGGGACTGTCCTCTCCTGGCTCTCAGGGTTGGCACAGATGGTCCGGGGGAGCAAAGTCTGGAGGCCGAGGCCAGGTGCCTTTCCCGGAGGCCCTGCACACTCTTGTAGCTTCTCACTTGGGGTGGCCCCAGACTACCTAAGGCTGAGAAATTGTTAGACTTATCCCCAGATGGAAGCATACAAAGAAGGGGAAGTGAACTTTCCTGACGCCGAGTCATGATTGTTTGTGATTCTGGACAAAGCCTTGGGCTTTCCCTGTCTTCATCTTGAGAAGCTGCCACCTAGGCCTTGGGCAGAGGCTGTAAAATATCTAGAATCCCATCTACCAGCTTCCCCTCGAGTTTGCCGTCCTTAAACGTGCTCCTTCACTGGCTTCTGAAGTTTTGAACCTGCTACATTTAAAGCAGAGCAAGGGTCCCAATGACTCTCACAACCGGCTTCAGAAGCACCTGCCCAGCTCTCCAGAGACTTGATGACAGGCTGCCCCCCAGCCCCCTGCAGGCCCGTGTGTGAGGCCCGTCCACTTGCCTTCATCGCTGCCTGAGGGGCACGGGTGTCTATTCAGAAACAAATCCCCACCTGGGTTTGAGGGGCACAGACGCTGCTGCGTGAGGCTCTGAAGTCCAGACCTGGTGGGGGGGGGGAAGGATACAGCCCCACGAATGTATTCCTATGACTGACTCTTAGGATCCAACCTGGGTTTGACCGGAAGCCCGGATCTGTTCATCTCAAGGTCATGGGGCCCATGACACGTGCTCGTGTGAGTGACGGTGTGGCTGGACATGCTTTTGTCCTCCATCTAGGGATTTTAGGGACTTTTGCTATAACTGTCTTCTCTGGGAAGAAGAAACATTTTTTTAAATGAGCCAAACCTTCTCCTCTTCTTCCATTTTTCTGCTTTGGGCAACTGCCTACTCTTGCCTGAATGCTGCTCTGGGCTCCCGAGCAAGGACCACGAGCTTCAGATCCCACAGACTGAGCCTTCCACTAGAAGCCGGCCGTGCAGGGTTCTCCAGCCAGCATGTGCCCTGACTGATAAAGAGCAGAGGGGCCAGGTGATACCTTTGAATTACAGTATTGAATTCTGCAGCCAACCTATGAGGACCCTCAGTTACCGTGGGGAAAATCTTTTACTGTAGCTCTAAGTTCTGCTTCAGTCCTAGGATGTAAGAAATGAATGCGTTTAGTGGTATCCTCCAAAAGCCTAATACGAGGGAGAGTTTTAACAGGCTTAGTCGGTAAGGTTTTAGCGCTAGAGAAGGGACGTTCTGCTAAAGGAAGAGGTTAGAATAGGCAAAGGTAGCTATGGAGGAGGTGGAGGGCCAGGGCTGGGGTAAACCGCGGTTGGTGCTGCCAAGGAAGGGGCTTCGAATACTTTTAAGTCTTTTTTTAGTTATTTTCTTTAGTTAATTTATACCTAATATTGTGTAAAGAAGCAATTTTAGAATCCTGGCTACTTAGAAGCCTCTAGGTACCAATGAAAATCGGTTTCTCATTTAGATTCTTTAGTTCGATTACTGTGATCTTCTAACTTACTCTGGAGAAAAGTTTAGGGAGATTGAGAATTCCTCATAATGACCACTTACCATCTTTAGTAAGGTTGGCCCATTATGCCAAAATGCACACGAAGCATTTTGTGTGCATTAAAATATACTTTTTAAACATAAAGCCAGCTGGAGACCCTGAAGGAGGGCCACCCTTCCAGCATTTAGATGCCTGGGAATAAACCCCACTTATTTTCTTGAGAGCAAAAATAAATTCCTAAATCATCTGAAGAGGGTGCTTTCAGGATTGGGAGTTGTATTTTGTTTTCCTGGGACTGTGCCTTTCACGGATACACTTTTTTCCTCGAAGACGGCCTTTGACCTGGTTTCTGACTCATGACCAGGAGGCATTTCCTGTCACACAGAAATTTTCCTGGTGGTTGGCTGTCAATCTGGCCTTTCCATGATCAATTTATCCTCTCTTGGAGTCTTTTGCTTTGGAAAGCAAGTCTTTCGTAAGGAGGTGACAAGCACTTGCGTAGATTTATTTGCCAGATCCATGACCACTGATATTATTTTTCGTTTTTGCTTTCAAAAATTCCAAAGTAATTATACCAAAATTATAGCGCACTCCTAACAAGAAAACAAGTGAGTAGGACAAATGCTGAAACAAAAGAATGAAGCATTTGAACAGGTTCTGAATAAAGTAGTGGAGCTCAGACAAAGGGTAGGAGCCCAGAATCCTAGAGGAGACTCTGAAAACCAGAAGGAAGCAAGGGAGACTCGTGAAAGCAATGAGCACAAAGGGCTCAGGGAGGGCACCCCGCTCAATTCTGAAGGAATTCCAAGGGTCACTGTCCCTTGGGGGTCATTTCCTTTGCAGTTAGGGACAAGCAACCTGTAGGAAATTGTAGGCAAATCCTGAATGGCAGCTCCTCTTCTATTCCTGATAACTCATCTCCTTTGACAATTTTGAGCTTGCCTCTCTTACCTTAGGTTGACAGAGCCAACTGTCAAAGTGTTGCCCAAGCCTCTGTGGGGACTAAACGAATGCCTTAGGGACACCAGGCACAGAAGGAGCCTCATCTCCCCTTGTTGCATTGACCACCTTACGGCACATGCACCTTCTGGGAAATTTTGGGAGCCCTGGTGGAGCTACACGTCTATGTGCATTTGATGAACAGATTGTACAGTGTTTTGCAATAAAGATGTTTAGCCTTAAGACCCTTGAATGGGACTCCGGCGGTGGTGGAGCTGCCAACACTCGTCCCCCTTTCTTCCCTCCTCACATAGTGTCGCTTAGAAAGGAGGCCCGCGGGCGCTCGGGCCCCGGGACAGCCTCTCCTCCGTGTAAATCATTGCACTGCCTTCTCTCACGCTTCAGCAAGGACTACCTTCACCAGCTCTCGTGCCCTCCAGCTGGGGTGGGTACCACCATCCTCTCAGCACCGACTACAGCCGTCAGAGAGACCACCATCCTTCCAGGAACCAAGCAGTTCACATGGAGTTTTCATTCCCACCCCACCCCCACCCCCACAGATCAAAAGAATCAATGTGAATTTGCCTGAAGCTTACATTAGTTTCACATGAAACTTCATTTTCATGGGAGCCTATCAGACTTTTTCTGGAACCTCTAGGACTGGACTTGAATTACCTGCAGGTGCCGGATCCGGTGGATGCTCCCCCGGCCGGCCATGAAACTTTCCTTAGAGCTATTGTCTCTTTCTCTGTGACTTCTGGGCCCATCCGTTGTACAATGATAAGTCCACGGATCTTGTATCAGGATATGGGCTGCTTTTATGTTAAGAAAGATGCGATCCCCAATGAATGTATTCTCTTAATATTCAGACACTGTATTTGTGCATCGGTTGGATGGTCCACAGCCAACGTTCTGCCAACACCGCAAGGTCACCTACTCACAAGCAGTTTGTCACTCTGGGGCTTCTCCTTATATGAACACTCTTTCCACTGAGTCCTGCCAAATCTTTCACTGGGTTTTCTTTTTCCTTTGCATCTGTCACTTTGTCCAAATGAGCATGAATAAAGAGAAGTGCAAATGAGTTGATACTATTTTTGTGGCCAGAGGAAAATGCTGCCAGGAACCCCCCGGTATGTCTGCAACGTGGGACTGTGAAGAGGAACGTGTGGGCCCCTCCGTTGGTGATAGTCCCTTCTCCACATTTTTAAACAAGCACAAATGATATTTGTAAAAAAGAGTTAAATTTTATTTATTATGGTAATAAACTATTTTATACATGATGCTTCCTTTTGCCTTTTATTATATCATCTCAGTTGGGTTTCTGACCTAAAACGACAGAACAAGGATGGTGCTTTCATTTCCAGAGCTTGGCAAGCTCTAGTTTAGAAGCACCTACAGTTGTGGGTTTTGGAGAACTTAAATTCTAGAGACACCAAGATTGTGTGTCAAAGTACCACACAGCAAGGTAACTACTGTGAAGTTGCTTTGCAATGTGATCTTGAAATTGAGCTGTGCCTGCTATACCAGTGCACAGAGATGTGTTCAAACCCTGGCATCACTGGAAAGTCGCGGTATGACACATTGATTTATTGCATATCTGAAACTGCCCTCCCCTTAGAAGTGAACTTTATTCTTAACAGTTTGGATTGAAATCTATAAGACATGAATGCTTTCCTGCCGTTTAAAACACAGTGTAAAAAGCTGGACTTTTTCAGAATGACTCAGTGTCCACAGCGTGAGTTGGATGTGTGCTTAACTCACTGATGGTCTTGGAAGCTATGAAGGTAGAGAACGGCTTGGCCCCAAGCTAACTGGTCCTCCACACCAGCATTGTTTCAGCTGTGCTGCGGTTTTAATGGGTATTGCTTCTTGCCCATGGCAAGATTCTCCATGGTACTGCCAACCCAAGCTGTTATTTAACACCGAAAGACCACGTTTCAAAAACAGCACTTTTCTTTTTACTGTAGGCGGGACTCTGCTTGATCTCATAAGGCCACACCCTGTTATTTCATTACATCGCAGAAAAGCATAATAAAAATAATGTAAGGGTATAGTGCTTAAAATTCCACATGATTGATGTTCATTTTCAAGTTCTCACCTAGTAAAGCACTAAACACTGCTTGCTTTAGATGGCCTCGATGAAGGGAAAAACTCTTTGTGAACACAATCTTTGTAATTAATCAAAAGGACTAGTAATACAGAGCCAAGGAATATACTTTGGGTGCCAGATGGGTTTCAACTATTAGAAAAAGAGAGATTTTGTTGCTTTGTTTTAAAATAAAATAGTTTCCCTGAAGAAAGGCCTGGAGAGCTTCCCAGCAGGCGCAGAAAGGCCGGCCTCGTGGGGGTCACCCAGCTTCCTGGCTTCCCGACAGCTGGCCCTGTTGAATGGATATGTTTGCTAGAAAACGAACTCATGATGTTATGGTTAATTTCTTAAACTTAGTCAACAATTATATTGTTATTATTATTATAAATAAGCAAGTGACACAGTATCAGTTTTTCTAAGGAGAATCCCCTCCCACTAAATTACTACTCTCCCAATATATAGATCATTATACAACTATACGTGATTGATACACATTTTTTGCTAGGTCATCAATCTTGAATAGAATGAAGGGTTTTCTGCTGTCACTTCAAACAAATTAATCTAAAGAAATAATACAATACTGCTAAGTCTCTCAGGTGGTCCTAAGAATTAGTCAAAGTGACTTAAGATGTGGCTGTCCCTCAGGGTGTCGCTTGCCTCCTTGGGGATCGTCTTGGCCATCACACCTGGAGCTCCTTGGCTTTTGCGAGGTTGGGCTCAGAAGGTCCTGGGGCTGGGAGCGACCTTGGACCTTGTCTAGGTGTTTCCCAGCCCCAAGCCTGAAGCTGCCCGGGCCGATGACTGTGAAAAGTGACATGTCAGAAGCTGCCCAGGCAGAGACTGCTTAGGTGGGCCGGGCTCCTTGAGTCTTTCTGTTAAAGCAACTCCAAGACTTTAGGTCTCGTGCATGAAGACAGAGATACCACCATTTTCACGTGATAGTTGGGGAGCAACAAGAAGCTAGACAAAGAAAACAATGGTCCTGGATGATGGACATACTGGTTACTGAGTCCTCAAATGCACAGCTAAACAGTCATCATTTACTGATTCCTGAGAACCACTCGAATCATATCGTGACTGAAAGCCAGTTCAGGATTATTACTCTCAGATACAGGGTATGGCTCAAATAATGCCCTTTCTTACAAAAGCATAAGCATCACACTCAAGCAGGCCTTAATGACAATTAAGGGGAAATGTTCAAATTAAAACTATAAATTATTACACCCATATCATTACCCTACCAACCACACTCAAGCAAGCCTTACTTCTGCTGGACCCCATATATCTCAATAGAGTTTAATGAATGAATAAACTTATTTTATATAAATGGTGTCTCTGAAGAGTTCGGAATGTTTTCTGCTATTTATATATGACACTTCCTTATAATCATCTTCCTTACAATCATCTTCCCACTCCCTCTCTGGCCCCCTTGGAAAGCCCTTCCCTTTCAGCCACACTCCCTCTGACAGACCACAAATCCCAAATCGGTGTCAGTCCACGAGGTTGGACTGTATTCATCTGAGTGCTCGCTCTTCCCCAGCCTCTCGTGCCCTCCTTAAAAACACCCAGTGCCTTGGAATCGCCTGCCTATGTCTCCTTTACTGAGCCAGCTGCCGAGGCCACCGCTGCCCTGCTCTGCCGGCCCCCTGCAGCCTCTGCCTTTTGCTGCTGCCCGCTCAGGTCATCTGCATCTGCCCCACTTCCGAACAGAGTGGCTGGGAAAAAAGAACATCAGCAAAGTGACTGGTCCTGCACTCTGAGAGTTTAAATTGCGTTGAGTTAATAACCACAGCCAGCACACAGTAACGAACTGTTACTACGAGACAGTCTGACACAGACCAGGGCCAAGTGAACCCACGACCATTCAAGTCATGTGCTTGAGGTGCGTTAAGTGCTCCCATCACTGGGCACACTACGGATTCAAATTTTGAAAAGTTTGTTCACTAACCCCTGCCCCCACTGCTCTAAAAAACCCAAAACTCAAAGACAAACAAGTATTCTGAATTATCTGCCACTTGAGGCCATTAGTAGCCTGTCAGCACCTTTCCAGAGGAATGAAGAATTGAGAGTTATGTAAGTGTGTTTAAACATTTTCCTAAAAAAATATTTAAAACCATTCTACAAAAAAAGTGGCTTATGTGATAGAAAAAAGCTCCACTTTATTTGAAACAAAACCAAACAGTATAAAGCGCTGAATGCAAACCACTGAGTGGGAAGACGCCGGTGGGACTCACGTGGGGAGAGGAGCCATCCTTACCCTCTGTGACTCGCCTGATGGCACCTGTCTGTGGTGCACTGTCCCCTGGGCTTTAAGTTCTGCCTCCTTAGGTGGACATGACGCACTGTCGGGTAGAAGCTCCACATGTTGACTGCTCTGCGGATCTAGGAAACAAGCAGCCAAGTGCAGATCGCCACGACGAAGTTCAAAAACGGGTCTCCTTGGGTACAGACTCCTTGGAATGTCACGGAACATACTCTATCTTCTTTACCGAGTAATTAAAAACACAGCTGCAACTTTGCCACCTCCCTGCTGAGACCACACTGCAGGGCATGGGGAAGGGGGACACATAAATGTCACCAAAGTGTTTCAGAAATATTGCCCAATGAAGGACAGGCCTGTCACCAGTCAGGGTTTCTGGGCCTCAGTCAAAAAATGCCCATTACATTTAATTCTTAGTAAAGGAGAAAAAACCCAAAGGGCGTCTGGGCACTAAGGACCACAGTGTCACCCTGGGCAGACGGGCAGTATCTACACTACAGCTGGACCCCAGCTCACTCGACAGGAACAGGACGGTGGGGGGAGATGGTCTCTGTGTCCCTGAAGGTGGGAGACTCGGGTTATCGGTTTTCTAGGAGAGTTCAAGCTTCCAATCTTGGAGTGAGGTAACTTCCACAAAGGAGGAACAGGTCAAGCGTTGGCCCCTTGGAAGTCGTCGTGGGCTGTGAGGGCAGGGAGAAGCACCATTTGCCTTGGAGGCCAAGAGCAAGGCCGTCCTGGACCCACCACATTAGTTCTCGGCGTATGTCTGGGCCCAGGCAATGCCCACGTGGGAGTAGCAGTACAGGAATCCCAGGACGGAGAGGGTCACCCACGGCCAGCCTGCAGCGGGGACAGAGATGGAAGAGCAGTTAAAACGCCTGGGTGGGACCTGCCACCGGTACAACCTGTTCCCCTTCAGAGAAGGCAACCTAAGAAAGGACACAGGCTTCGGTTTACAGCTTAAGCCACGAGCCTCCTGGAAAGTTCGCTCGAACTGGAATGCCAGCGAGTCGAAGCTCACATCCCCACTGGGTCAGCATCGAATGAGGGGTGTGCTATCATAAATGCAAATTATGATTAGAAATAGGACAAGCTTTTAAAGAATACATATTTAGAAGACTAAGGCAGTTAATAATACCAAAGAACAATAGTACATGAGACCCATAGTAAATCTCAAATTATTATATTGAATCTCAACTAAATCTCAAATGATCAGTGATTATATTGAATTGAGTGTCATCAGTAAGCACACAGATGAATTTAGGAGAACCAAAATTCAACATTTGCTTTTGAAACTCATACCTTTTAGTGGTTCCTTCTACAAGTACTGTGACTATCTGATGTTCTTTCCTTTGTCCTTCTTCTTTTAATTAGCAGCCCTTTCTGCTGAGTGTTTGTTTCTTAATGATCTCTGTGTCTTATACATGTTTCATTTATTCAAACTTTTACTGGGGACTTTGGGGAGCCAAAGGTGCTGTGGGAGGCCTCAGATGCCAAAATAGAAAGATCTAGTCCTACGGTGCTCCCACTCCAGCTTGGCAAAGACAAACACACACCACTGGGATTTATGAGCCCTGTGTATGAGCTCAATAATGATGTGTGCAGAGAACACGTGAACTGGACCGTGTGGGATGAGCAAGAATTTGTCCGATGGAAAGGGACAGGGACAAGGTACCAGAGGGATCACCTGAAGTGTGAGCATCACAGGCCCTTCGAGGAACAGGGACCATGTGATGTGGCTACCACACAGGGAGGGGCAGGCCGGGAAGGGGCAGGAGTAGGGAGGAGGCGGTGGGGAGCCACTGGGGTTGTAACAACTGTGGAAGGCTCTCTTCTCGCCATTAGCAGCTACTACTATCAACACGGCAGCACGGTGGTTAAGAGTGTGACTCTGAAGGGGAATCAGACACAAGCTCGAGTCCTGGCCCTGCCACTTGCCGGCTGTGTGACCCTGAGCAACTGAAGAAACAGCAAATGTAAAGGGAGGGGGGATAGAGTAACGTACTTAAGTGTCTTTACAAGGTCCCATGGACTGAATTGTGTCCCCCAGCCAAACTCACATACTGAGACCCTGATCCCCAACGTGCCGATAGTGAGAGGTACAGCCTTTGGGAGGTAAACAGGGTGAGATGAGGCTGTCAGGGTGGGGCTCCCATGATGGGATCAGTGCCCTTATTAGAAGAGATACCGGAGAGTTTGCTTCCCTTCCTTTCCCTGCTCTCTTGTTTTACAGTAAAAGGGCACACTAAGAAGGCAGTTGACTTTAAGCCAGGAAAAGGGTCCTTACCAGGAACCAAATTAGCTGGTACCTTGATCTTAGACTTCCCAGCTTCCAGAACTGTGAGGAATAAATGGCTGTCATTTAAGCCACCCAGTCTGGTAGCATGAGCTAACTGAGACATCAGGGTTCTGCCCAGTGATGGCCCTTGGCCTACAGTGGGCACCACAGAAAGGCAGTGATAATGGAGATGAGAGAACAGAGAAGTCTTTCTCCAACAAGACTGGAGTGACATCGGGAGGTCAAGCCCTACCATTTTCAGCTTGTTCCTTGGCCTGGCTCAGCCCAGGAATTCTCTCAGGTCCTGAAGGCGAGGCAAGGAAGGGGAGCAGAGAACCCCCAACGGCCTGGCTCTGGGACCAGCCCTGATGCCCCGCCTCCTGGCTAACAGCAGATGGGAACTGGAACAAATCACCACACATTTCGTGGCTTCAAATAACAGAAATTCATTCTAGAAACCACAAGCCTGACATCAGGGTGCTGGGCAGGGCCACCTTCTTTCTGGGGACTCCTTCCTTGCCTCTTCCAGCTTCTAGCGACCCCAGGAATGCCCTGACGTGGGGCAGTGTCCCTCCAATCTCTGACCTGTCTTCACATGGCCTCCTTTCCTGGTCCCTCTGTGTCCTCTCCGCTTACAAGGACACCAGTCATTAGCTTGAGGGCCTACCCGCAACCCAGGATGATTTCCTCCCAAGATCCTTAATTAATTACATCTTTAAGCATCCTATTTCCAAATGAAGCCACATTCTGAGATTCCAGTGCACAGGACTTTGGAGGGCACTGTTCAGCACTGTATAGTCAGATACCTTTTTAAGCTTCACTCCAGACCCACCCTGCCTCAAGGCCATCAGCTCTTTCAACTCTGTGGCTCAGACACACATGCCAGGGGGCTGTCAACACCTACTCCTCAGCGGGCTCAGGGAGCAGGAAGACGGAAGGGGGCTCCAGGTACAGAAATCGCTCCCAGACTTCAGCTGTGCTTGGGATGAGGCATCAGCAGGGGTTTGCTGAACACAGAACCCAGAGGCCGGCTGTGGAGCTGAGGGTTGGGATGTTTTGTTTGCTCAGAGCTGGGCCTGGGGCATTGCACAGCCGTGCCTGGACACCCCCGTGGAGGCGTCTGCACAGCACACAGAATTCTAAGGAGAAAGGTCCCCAACACTGCCCCGAGGTGAGGCACATACGTGTGCAGTTAGGACCCCAGCCGGGCCCTGAAAATGCTCCCCACTGTGACTGTGCCATCCAGAGAGGCAGCTACACAGCGGTTAGGAGACTTGCCATCCTGACTCTACTAAGAGACGTCAGTAGGGTCTCAGTTCTTCCATCTGTATTATGGGAGGTCAAAAATAAATCATAGCCTGTGAGGATCAGTTTGGGTAGTGCTTTTACAAAGTGTTTCAGAAAAGCAAAGGATTGCCGTAGGACCCCCTGAGCATGCTGTCACACACACAGACAGCTGGCCTTTTTAGTGCACATGTGTTCTCACAGACAGTAAGCCTGGCGTGTACCAGACAGCTGCTGAGGGCCTCTCACCCTTCCTTGACCTGAAGTGTAGTATGTGATGACAAGGAAAGGACAGATGCCACACGTCCCTTCCATGACACGCAGCGAATACTTCACGAGCCTGTGCTATGTGCCAGGCCCCGTCCTAGACACTGGCATTGCCGTCTGGGGGTAGCCACAGGTACAAGGTCTTGGACTGTGGTGGCTGCTACCCAAGCACCGATGTGGCTCAGGTGTGTGGGGGGAAGTACAGCGGCTGCTTGGGGACAGGCTCCTCTTCATCAGGGCTCAGATGAGCCCAGGATCATAGGAGTGAAAGAAACTAATACAGGCTGTCATTCTGGAGACATCCCAAGGGTTGCTATGATGCACAGTCATCTGGGCTTGTTGGCTGTTAAACAAAAAGACGGCGTCAAAAAGGTCCATCTTCACAAGTGAACACTGACCTCATCCTGCAGTCGTCCCACCCCATGGCCACTCCGCTCTGTCTCTCCTTCTCTGCTCTGCCTTCTCACCAGCATTTCCAAAGTACGGCATCCAGTCAACTTCCACATTCCCACGGTCTTGACCCTGTGCATGCACACGCACAGGCACACACACTCCATGAACGTGGATCATAAACCCTGGGGGACAGCAAGGTGCTTCTTGGTCAAAGGAAAAGATCCTTCTTCAGAGGTACTTTAGGGTCAAAGCCCCCTGCACACTGTGCACATTCACAGTAGGGCCCCCGGAGTGAATGAGGTGTGCAGCTTCCCAGTGGGCTTCTGATGCCTGGACCTAACAGGGTCTAAACAAGTGAATAGTTTTAACAGCATCAAACATATCAACAGGGTGCTAGCAACTTAGACAACAGGTGTAAAAAAATGGGCAATATAGTTAATAGGACAAATCATTTGACAGATATAGCTAAATGCATTTAAGTGGGATGTACAACACAAAGGATTCAATTAAGAGGACCAGTGTGTACATGGCATATCAGGTGGAACAATAGGATTTAGGTGGCTGCATCACTATATCGTTAATAAGGTAAGAGTGAGGTGCACAGTGACTGCAGCTAACGAGCACCCAGTAGAACACAGAGGGGAAAGCTACAGCTAATGGAAAGTGACAGTGTCATTTTACTTGAGGTCTCTGTGGCTGGGCAATTCTCTGAGCAATTCCATCAGTGTGAAGGGACTATCTCCTTCGCTCGGGACAGAGCAGAAGATGACCAGCATGCAGGGCCACGAGAAGGCAAAGGACATGTTGAATTGGTTTTCTGGGGAATGAAGGGATAATCAGAACAAGAAGCGGGTCTAGCAAAAAATGTTGTTAAAAATATAACGCTATAAAATGATACAGCCACAGTGGAAAACAATATGGAGCATTCTCAAAAGATTAAACATATATTTACCACACACGCACCCAAAATAATGGAAAAGAACAGCCAGGAGAGACATTTGCACACCCAAGTTCATGGCGGCATTACTCACAGCAACCAAAGGTGGAAGCAGGCCAGGTGTCTGCTGACAGTGAAAGAATCAGCACAATGGGGCACATGCGTACAATGGAGTAGTTCTCGGCCTTAAAAAGGAAACTCTGACACATGCTACGACACGCGTGCACCTTGAAGACATCAGGCTGAATGAAGCCAGTCACAAAAAGACAAATACATAGTGCATGGCTTCCACTTACGTGAGGTACCTGGAGCTGTCAGAGTCAGAGACACAGGAAGTAGAACGGTGGCTGCCAGGGGCGGGGGGCGGTGGGGGTGGTTATTGTTTGATGGGTACGGAGCTTTCACAACATGCAGAGACTTCCGGAGACGGAGGTGGTGGTCGCACAACAACAGGTGTATACTTAATGCCACACTGACCTGTACACTTAAAACTGGTTAAGATGGTAAGTTCTATATTGTGTATAATTTACTGCAATAAAAATATTTTATGCTGAGTAAAAGAAGCCATTGAAAAACTAATACACACTGTATGACTCCATTTATGTAAAATTCAAATTGATTTACAGTGGTCGCCTGGGGCTGGAGCAGAGGGAACCTGGGAATGATGAAAATGATGAAAAG